TCAATCTGTTGGAACTGAACAGATCAAAACATCATTATTTCACATATAGAACATAGAACCTACAGAACTGTGCTGGTGCGTGTTCAGAGGAATGAGGATACACTGAAAAATGAAAACGTTCTTTCCTCAACAACCTTAAAGTTTTAACTTTCCTCCTGAACTGTTTGGAAGTTTCTTCTCCTTCGTCATTCTTCCTTGTACGTGTCTTCTGTGCAGTGGAGGAGGACACAGAGGAAAGCTCCCGATCAGGCAGAGACTCTGTGTCCACCGTGGCCGACCACACTCCCCTGACCGGCCCAGAAAAACCCCTGGTCAACGGAACAGGTCAAGCCAAAGAGGAGACTGGGAAGGAGAAGGACAAGGACAAGGACAAGGCGGTGAAGGAGAGGAGAAAGGACAAGGAAGGAGGGAAGGAGAAAGACAAGGGCAAGGCCAAGAAGGGGATGCTGAAGGGACTGGGCGACATGTTCAGGTAAAAACCTCCACTTTACCCTGGTCTACAAGTGGCCGAAGCTACGGCTAGGCTAACATGTGTGCTAACTTAGACTCTTTATAGATGTCTTCTGATCAACTGCTGGTTATTTCACACACACACACACACACACACACACCCGACCGACCCAAATGTACAAATGTAAACACAACACAGATCCCTATCAATGATAGACATTATTTATTTTTGTGTTGAGTACATTGGGAGCCCCAGTGGCCAAAATGTGTACAACAACTACATATACTGTAACAAGTGTTTGAAAATCCTTTGTTTTTATTTCATCAAAGTGATTTCTGTTCATTAAATCCTTCGACCTGTGGTGGGAGCAGATGTAGTAAAAGGTTTGATTTCATCTGCGGTCCAATTAGACCCAGGACCCTGGACCCTCCATCCAACACCTGTCAAACAGAACCCCCCAGGTCAGACTCCTGCGTTGCTAATTCTGTCCAAATTGGTGTGCCAGAGTTCTGTGGTGCCTGGTTCTACGTCGGTGTTCTGTATCAACTGTTGTCTGGGAGGAGAGGATAACGAGACCCTCAGAGATGGTGTGAGAGACAGAAGTACGACGGTGGGGACGAGAAAATAAAATCAGTCGGACACTAACTAACAACCAGACAAACGACTCTGGATTTGTCACAGTGAGCAGCTGCGGTGAGTCAGGGTTTGTTCCTCCTCCTCCTCCTCTGAGAGAGAGAGAGCGAAACCTTCACCCTGATTCGTCCGTTCTTCTAACATGTTGATCTCAAACAGAGACAGACTGTTAGAGACGAGGCTGGACACCGTGAACGGTCAGATCCAGATGGTACAGGCCTTGATGTTGGATCTGATCAGTCTGTGAACTGGAGATGATGAAGTTTCTGGAACTAGCAGTTACTGTAGCTCCTTAATATAAACCTGTAAATCAGGACTGAAGAGCAGTTTACACTTTACAAGGTGTGTGTGTGTGTGTGTGGTCACACCGTGGGTTGGTCCTCTGGACTTGACCATCAGACATTTGGATGTGGTCTGTCAAACCAGTTCATGGACAGCAGCTGTCACCACAGACGGCTCTGGACCAGGACATGATGGAACATCTCCAGAGGCTCAGTCAAGGCTCAGTCTCCTCCTCAGAGTTCCTCCGTCACTGACTCATAAATCTTGCGGAGAGTTGTGGAGAAGGAGAGTCTTTCTCTCCTACGGTGGTGTTAATGGGAGTAACTGGTGTGGAGAGAGGAGGCGTCGAGCTCCTCCTGACATGATAGATGGCTGCTGCTCCTCACATTAACAGAGAGCCGTCAGTCTGTCAGACGCTCTCAGTCAGATTAATCAGGTAATGGACCCCAGCCTGTGCCAACATCTCTTTCTCCCCTCCACAACACCCCCACCCATCTCTCCCTTCTCATCAGTCTGTCCTTCAACGCCTCACAGCTTCACAGTCACTTTTTATCCCTCATTTATTTGTTGCAGTTTCTACTGATCCTGTGATGAAAACAAAACTCTACATTAACCCTTAACTGTCAAACACCACAGCGACACGACACACTGGTAATACAACCAGGGGGAGCCAGAGGGTTGTTTATTTGTTTGGTCAACACACCACCATCCCGGAGCAAACAGGGATTCAACCCTCCAACCTTTAGATCACTAACCTTACCATTTAAGGCAAAACACACATTTTAAAATTATGACAATGACTGGAAATTGTTGACTGAACCGAAGGACGACGATCGACTGAACGATTTCTACATGAAAATGAGAAAAACGCGGGGCAGGAAATAGAACCCTGATTTGGAAAGCTAACTTCCTGTTAGCTTTCGATAAGCCCCCGAGGCAGTGACGTGCGGTCGGGAGAGTACACAAAATAAATAAATATAAATATTCCACTGTGTTAAAGATGCATTTTCAGTATGACCCTACACATTTTTGTTTACATTTTATTAAGTTAAAATTGCCGAAATTGAGTATTTCGCGGTCAAATACAGGGCAGAAATGCGACTCGTATCTGACTGACGATCCAGTACTAACTGGGTCACATGACGCGTTTCTGTTCCTCAGCATATCATCATTATGAACTTTACAGAAATATTTGTTCTACATCATGACTCTCTACAGTCTATGTCATGTCTTTAATATCTGTGGGAGAGAATTGTTCCT